TGTGTGTGTGTGTGTGAGAGAGAGAGAGAGAGTGTGTGTGTTGTCTGTCTGTTTCTCTGTCTGTTTTTCAGTCTGTCTCTCTGTGTGAAGCTGTGGGTCCCTGTGAGTATGTATGTGTGTCTGGCGTGTGTTGGTAACGCTCACGACTCACAGACATGATACACACTACTGAATCCAAGTACACAGCTCCATCTCCTCCCCTTATCTCTATCTCTCTCTCTCTCTCTCTCTCTCTCTCTCTCTCTCTCTCTCTCTCTCTCTCTCTCTCTCTCTCTCTCTTCCTTCCTCCCCTCTCTCTTTCTCTCTCTGCCTGAAGACAAAATTTATCGCTTTCAACTCGGTGCTGGAACGTTTGTTTATACTCGTATCACGGGCCGTCACGCGCTAAGACGAGGTAGATCTAGCGCCCAAGTCTCGTTCAGACGATAGATAGATATTATATAGGGCAACTGAAACATCTTGGTAGTAGTTAGATAATCTTTAATGACATCACGGCGTTACATTTCTATTGTAAGTAACTTTGTCACCGGCATTCCGATAAATGATAATAATTAAATAATTAATAAAGGATGATAGATCTAGGGGATTTGCAAAGTACAACAATGTAGTCAACTCACGAGGGAAACCTCGAAAGTCGACAAAAATAGATGGCGGAAAAACATCATCTATGATCTATTTTGGGCCAATCACAGAAGTGTGCTAGGTGCTCTCAATAGCTTCATGTCGCTCGGAAGGCCGTGAGGCCGTGTTTAACGCTACCTAATACGGATGGGATCACCCTACTCGGTCGCCTCAAAAAACAAACTTGTTTGTTTTCAGTTTCAGGCGATCGAGTCGGGCGATCGGCCCGATCCAGCCGTAGTGGGCAACCCGTATAAGAATATGATTAGATCTAGGTGACTAGTTACCCGAGGTCGCAGAAATCCCCACGGGCCAGTAGCGTCAGGCCACTCCGGTCGAGTAGCGTGACGCTAGCCACTCTAGATCGAGCGAGTAACCTGACTCTAGCCTGACGCTAGCCACCCAATATCGGGCGAGTAGCCTGATGCTAGCCACCCAACATCGGGCGAGTAGCCTGACTCTAGCCTGACGCTAGCCACCCAACATCGGGCGAGAAGCCTGACGCTAGCCACCCAATATCGGGCGAGTAGCCTGACGCTAGTCACCCAACATCGGGCAAGTAGCACCGGCCTTAAAAAATATCCAATAATACACAATAAAAATGAACTTTTATAGTCAATCAAAGTATAAAACTGAAAATCAACGGCCCATAACTGAGCTGGCAGGGCACGCTTACACAGTCATCTATTTAGGTAAACAAGTATGAAGTGGGTTAGGAGTTACCATTCTTACCCTGTTTAACCAATGAGAACCCTCAGCTGTTCAATGTGACGCTAAATTGTTTATATTTCAGACTATTCGTTGTTGAAAAGGGGTCTAAATCTAAAAATAGGGGTGAATGAAGGACGTTGAAGCAATGTCGAGCGTGACCTTGAGGTAATTGTTCTATAAATAATCTCACAGCTACATATACTAGCAGGTCAAATGTTCGAAAGGGTTTGAGGTCCAAATTGCTCTATCTTGTCACCCAAGCTCACAACAAACTGTCCCCATCGTTTTATGCAAGAACAATTCTGAAATTATGCACAAACTGAGCCCAAATAATTTGAAATTATGCGATTCTGTTAATTTTAACAAAGAATGATAAAGGAAAATAATTAGAAATTATGCAAAAAAATTATCAAATTTTGCTAAATTATGCAGGGTGCATAAAACCACGTGAACAGAACAAACTACACACATACCTCTAAAATAAATCAAAATAAGATATTTGAGTCACGACGCGGTGGAATCAGGCGCTCGTCAATTTTTTGGCATTTAAAAGTTATTGGTATCATCTGAAAGCTGATTTATTTGCCTTGCTTTCAATGATAAAAACATCCATCTATCTTGAATAGAACTCAAGATATTTGTAATTGAAGGAAGTGAGTTTGCCTGGTTTCAGTGGTGAAATTAGCGAGAAAATTTCCGCCAAAGTTTGATAACTTCAATAGCTAAAGAGTCCTTGAAAACAGGAAACTGACACATTTTATGTCTCTAATCTATGTTTTTCAGTAAAATTCAGATGGAAATATGTTTTTATATATATATGACATTTTTTTTCGAATTTTTGTTTTTTGGTTCAACACCTTTTACATCTATTGAAAAACGCATTTCTGTGAAAATTTCAATGAAAAAAGCTGATGAAAGGCACAAAAATGTAAATTATTTTTTTCCAAGGTCTCTCAAGCTATGTAAGACACCAGACTTTGGAGGTCATTTACTTGCTAATTTTACCTCTGAAATCAGGTGACCCACACCTCCTTCAATTGCCAATATCTCGACTTCTAGATTCAAGATGGATTTAAAAAAAAATTACAAGCAAGACAATGAACAAGCTTTATAATGATACCAACAACTCCATAAACCCAAAAATTGAGGAGCACCTGATTCCACCACGTCGTAACACATTTGAGTACAATAATCAATTACATAATCAATGTTAACTCATTCAATGCTGAGCGCTCCAGCAGTGAACCCCCCTCATATACTGGGCTGTTTTGTTTTGGCAACATGAAATTAGGTCTACCCAGTAAAATCTGTCAAATTATAGAGGGCTTAATGGCTGTTAAAGCAGAAAAAATGTCTCCTTGACCTTTTCCATAATGCATCATGATTAGTTCAAATAACTTGGTATGGATAGAATATATTTTATTTCTATTTTAAAGATAGCGAGGCAGAATGCAAGAATACTCATCGCTAGTATTGTGAGTGGGGCTCAGGATTCGCGAGTATTCTCGTCCGTAGCCCTGAATGAGTTGATCTTAATTTTAAACTCATATATATATTTTTGTTTAGGTTGAG